GTTACCTGAGGCTGTGTATTTGGAGAAGAGAGTCTTGCTCATTCACCTCTGGTGCTGCACAAACTTATTGACTATTCCCTGCACATGTCTGCTTGACATGAACGGATTTCTAACTTGTCCGGGCTTTAACTTTCCTCCAAATTGGTACAGGGGAAGATAAGTACATCCAGTAGTACAATGGGACAGGCGAAGCAAGTGACAGAGTGACTCTTTGATTAGCTCATACTTACAGTTCACTTCGTAAAATGTTTGAATGAATGCAGCAAATCAGGAACCACAAGCAAAGGGACCTGTATTTTCTATTATTCCATAAGTATGTTTTGAGTTAAATACTTGATTGGGATTTGTTAAAAGTTCATCATGGTGGTTAATTCTCAACAGCAAAAGTGGTGTGAGGGGAAAAGATCACGTCAATCAAAGAAAGGTGTTCCTTTTATCCCCTCACTGGCATTTATTTTCTTTTAAGTTATTTTGGGGGCATTTTTCTCTTTACAGGACAGCTTAAGAGGGACACGAAAAGTGGTAAGAAGAGTGTAGGGAATGACATGCAGCAAAGGGTGGAGCCTCTGTACATGCGTTTTAACCAGCCAGCTTAACACACAATTTCCATTAGGATTTCAACAGAACAAAACAGAGTTCAGTAATGTTGATTTACATCTCAGCTGGGTCTTGAGGGATGGGAAATAGAGACAGTTACTTGGCACAGATGTGAGAGCAGCAAGACGAGGGACTTGACCCCTAACTATCCCACAAAGGTGGAGCAAGATCCTGTCCTGCAACCCAGGCAGTAGAGCCACATCCACATTATGTTTCAGTGACACGTCGCCAGTCTCTAAGACATAACTTAAACCATGGGCAGTTGTGATAGCAACAGTGTGAAAGTTGTGACATTTGCCTCCTGGAAATAAAAAAGTCTCTCCTCTGAAAAGCTCTTCAAAGAAGAAAAGCCGAATGGGGTCAGAAATGTCAACATAAATATTTCTGCTGAAGTCCCGTTTACCTTGTCTCTAATGTCACTTCAGTAAAAATGTTGCGGTTATTTGTCAGAGCAGGCTCATATTTTGACAAAACCATGAATTTAAATACTCAGTTTGATATTTATTCATCCTGTATGAACCTGTTGGACACATTACCAATGATGGAATTAAAGGGACTACTTTTTAGGTGTGTTAATAAAGAATTAAAAAATCATAATCTTGATATCAACAATTGTATTGTATTATTTATTTATTTATTTACCGCAGTTCATGGTATACAGTGGTTTGTAAAATACAAAAATAAGACATCTAGACATATTTAGGATAACATGAAACTGACAACATGGAGAGATCAAGGCATCCTGTCATTCTTCAGTCATTGTTCTGTTTTAAGCTAACTTTGAGCTAGAGCCCAAATTAGAAAGTTTGGGGCAACATGTCTCAGTCATTTTGGGGTTAGTTGTTACATGTTTAAAAGGGATTCAAATTAACATAGAGAGTCTGCTTATCAGCAGTTGTCAAATTGAAAATTTGACTTTATTTTTACAAAAAAAAGAGTGGTTTAAAGGAGAGGAGAAAGCGAGAAGACATGGGCAGGAATTACAAAAGTGCAGTACCTGACGTGATGCTGAGGGCAGTCAGGCAGGTGACCCTAGCTAATAAATCAATCTGGAGGACAATAGGGGACTTTAATGTCAACTACCATACCTGCAAAACATTCAGCCCAGCCAAAATACAGAGTCAGACAGCTCTACAAACTTCAGGGCATGTTGCATAATATTTTATGTTAACGTTTGTTCAATGACTTTTTCAGCTTAATTATAAAAAATTTCTGTGCCTTACTTCGATTTTCACTTTCATGTAAAAAAAAATTAGAACAGTGATAGTTCTGTCCTTGTTTTATTCACTGCAAAATTCCTGTGACATCTTACCCCATGTAGTGAGACAACTTACCCGATGGTGGGGCAACATGTCATATGTTCACACTCTCTATTTGATTGTTTATAACTCTGCACTGACACAAGATATGAAAATGACATGAATATAAAATATATACCTGACACTTTGGTCTTTCATCTTGTACACATTTTGTTTATATTTGATGTATTGATTCCAAGAAATATGTAAAAGTGTAAAAAGTGTGACAACAAGCCCCGGTCTCCCCTACTTTAGAAAACAAAGATGATCACTGTTCCACTGTATTTGTTTTTGACAGTCAAGAGTTTCTGAGTCTCTTTTTGTACAATTTGTGGCCGCCTGGTGATAAGTGTCAGAGTCTTGTTCACCCTTTCAGGATTCAAATAACCATTACCACCTGCTGCTCGCTACTTAACCCCTTAGAGAATGGACCCACTTAAGATCGGTTTACACTACAGACAGTCCCTTTGGTACACTTAATCTGAAAAAGGACGCAGTCTTTTTCCACGCCTTTAACAGCAGCAGCATCATAAGGAGTGTATATTGAGTGGATTGGGATCTCAGCAGGATTAGCAGAATGCTTATGAAAGGGGGAAATACACCAGCTATGCACTCACTTTCAGTGAATTAGTTATGCTTTGATACTATATATTAAAATACAGTATGTTCTTGTGCTGGGCTAATTTGACTTATTGACACAGTCCAGGTTTTAAATTCTGCCCAAGCTAACTTTGCTCAAGGCTAATGAAGCGATTAAACTCACTCTCTCTGCAGTGAATTATGAAATCAGAGCTCTGAGGACTGAATAAGGGAAAACACAATCAACACAGTTAATAATTACCCATTACTGTACCAATGTAAGACTGTTTCCCCTCTTTGAGTCAAAAGCAGATTACATGAATATACAAAAGCTCTAAAGGCACTGCTAATCACAGACCAAACTAGACCAGCTACACAGGAGCAAACATGTGATTTACATAGCGATTAACTGTCTTCATTTCTCAGGCAGCAGTGTGCAACACCCAGAGCCATGCAGAAGAAAATAACTGAAGGCTAAAGATAGATATGGAACTCATCAGGAGAAAGTGAAGGCCTAGACTGAGAAAAATGTTACTCTATAAAAACAATTAATCATCCTGAGACCTGTGCCATATTTGCTTTTGGTTTGAAGAGCTTATCATTTGGGATAAAGGGTAAAAATATTGGAGAAATTAAGGTTGTTAGCAAGAGGTCACCCAGTGGCAGCGCTGCTTATCTATTTATGACATACAGCAAGTTTTACATATGACAGCTCCTCCTTGTCTGCGTTCACTTCTTGGCCCTCCTCCAAAACAGGGAAATTCTGTCTCCTCTTTTCACCTCATTGCTCACAGCTAAACATTAATGACTCAGGTTTTTATGTCAATGAAATTCCACCTTCATCTCCGAGAGCAGACGTGACACTCCCGCCAATGTCTCCATGACTGTTGGCGGGACGTTTGAGTCTAACTCGGGTTGACACCAATGGAGATGCTGAAGTTCGCTGATAATACTGCACCTGAAAGAAGGAAAAACACAGATGTCAGATTTCTCTTCCTTTTAATTTTGGGAATAATCACAAAGGGATGTTTCTGGCTCTAAATCTGCACAGGTTTGAATCAACTGCATAATAAACCCTCCAAAAATGGGTGATTACCATTTGGATGGCCTAGTTTCCATGGAAAGGTATTCTCTCCATATTAAAACTGCTTACAAATGCATGGAGTCCACCTCCTCATGGCGCAAAACACACACTCTGCTCAGATATCTCATAAATACCTTTCTATATGCAGAGAATAAATATCAGAGGACATGCATTACTTTAAATGGGCCTGCCTGATGTATGCTAATGACTAAGATAGCATAAGATAACAGGACTTACCACTTCTCTTCACATACTGTATCTTAGAGCCGTGACTTGTTCTGCTACAACTCTCTTGTGAACCAGAAGGAGAAAACAAACATGCTTTTGTTTCAACAGCTACACCACACAGATGCAGTGTTGTGATTTGTGTTACATCCAGTGTATGATGTGTATCTGCTTCACATATATAACACATTTCATTATATTACACAGTCTTGCAATTTAGGTTTAAAAAAAAAGGTAATCTGTCTTGTTTAATGCCTCAATAATTCAGGTTCCTATACAGCGGTGTGAATGTTATTGGACAGCTTTACTAGAGCTGATGGTTGTTGGATGATTCTTGTATTTTTCCACCTCAGCTCAGGGTGGGGGAAGTGAGAGAGAAGATCCGCTTTTATCACATTCAGTCAAAACACACACGAGACTGAAACCTCTCACAGACCTGAGAGAATTTCCAGCTTTAAAATGAATAATTTATCACTCTGCGATGAAACCTCGAACACATATTGCTGCATAGATCAATAAAAAATTGAGTCATTTATCGCCTGTGATGTGAATAGTTATTTATGGGATTCGTGTCAGTTAAAAATACAGGGTTAAGCTGTCAGCTTTAAACCCTTAAGGAGCTTCTGATGTTGGGTGTTAAGGGAAACGTAATTGATTGATATTATCTTGTTTTTAGTCAATAAATCTTCACACATTATAACTCTGGCATGAGGTATTGATTAATGGATGATAATTAATCCAATAATTAGACATGATTGTGTCCGATTCCACTTTGTTGACTCTTACATGCAGTGTGGTGTGTTGCACATGTGCTTTTCAGTTTATTATTGAACTTGTTTTATATGAATGAAACATAAATTACATAACTCATCATATAAAAATGAAATATTTGCGCAAAAACAACTGCAATTCCCACAGGTGGCCGGTAGGGGTAGTGTGTGATTTTACACCAACTTTGGAGGCGTGGACCTTTATTCATCGGCTGCAGTAACAAACAAACGATCACCTTGTTACAAAGCATGTGAGAACTTACACAAGAGAGAGAGAAAAAAAAAGAAAAAGGAAGAAAAGACACTTTGACGGGTATAGACTGAAAGACCTGAAGGCTCTACAGGTGCTTTTTCTCTTCTTGGACTGTCTTGGTGCAGTTGAGTGGAGGAGCTGTCCACTTCCACGGTGGTGCTGAAAGTTTGTTCTCTGCGCCTCTGACAGACTTAACCAAACAATTAAGAGATATTTCCGTTTTTTATTTCAGTCACGAGAAATATCCTTTAATTGTAAGATTATGACTGACTAGAAACTCCACGTCTGTCCTCTTCAACCTGCTCTCCACATGTCGGCACACGCTTGGTATTATTGGACACAGAGGCGTGGAAAAAAAATACTATCACTCTATGTGGCTCTATTTACTCAATCTAAAAACTAATTCCAATCATATAGTCATGACATGGTTAAAACAAAAGCATAAGGGTGTCAATTATGCTGGAGCAACAGTCAGTTGGATGGATACGCTTTGGCTAAAAACTGCACTTTTTGCGTAAAATGCTCCTCTGGTCACTCCTTCCCGTTGCTCCCCTCTTCATCCAGGCGTGGAGGCTCCTGTCACGTCTGTCCGTCATCCATCAGCCCCTTTACCGAGGAGCCCCTGCGTGTAAATCCTCTTCTCTGCCACATCAGCAGCGCTCCGTCGCCACTTAACTGCACTGTAAATGCTCCTCAGCCTCTGCGCTCCCACACATCATCCGGGGGAAAAAAAAAACAAAAACGGCAACTTCTCCAAAAGTCAAGTGTCCATGCAGCTGCGTCCACTTTTTTCATTTCTCCTGCAGATCTGAATGCCGTGGAGCTCTCGTGTTCTCGCAGTTTTCTTGTCTTCCTCAAAAAAAAAAAGGTGAAAAGATGTTTCTCTCCCGTAATCTTCAATAATGTGTTTCCAATTCGGCTCTCCGCGCGTCTCTCTCCGGCTAGTCCAAATCATTTCTACCCGGCTTGTCGGGACAGCAGCCGAGTCGTGAAGTCTCTGCAGTCACGTGATCGAGACAGGACTGAGGGGAGAGTGTGTGCGCTTTCCTTGTGTGTGTGTGTGTGTGTGTGTGTGTGCGGTTTTGTTTTATATTTTCGGAGTGTGTATGCGCGCGTTTCTCTGTGTGTAGTTAGGGGTGTCCCTCCTCCGCATTTTTTTCGCTGCTTGCCATGCTTTAGACGCCGGAGCGCAGGGAGAGAGGCGAGAGTGAGAGAGGTAACACCGGGCTCTCTCTCACCGGGCTACCTGTCTCTTTTCAGTCTTACCTCGGGTCCCCGTCGGTGATCCCTCGTCTTTTTTGTCACCACCAACAAATTGTCGTTTTCTTTCTTTTTTCTTGGCTGGAAAAAACAACTGACACATTTTTGCAGGGTTACATACCGGTCTGGCAAAGCAAAGAAGAAGAGGAGGAGGACCACTGTTGTGTGTTTTAGTGCTGGGTTCTGATTATCTTTTTTTTTTTTTTTTTTTTTTTTTGTCTTTGGGTGCTCCATTTGGACAGCTATAGGACAGCCGAGCAGAGCAGAGCTTGGATGAGCCGCCTCGATCAAATTCCGAGATGGAGTTGCTGCTGATCTGCCTTTCCCTGTGGATATTGCAATGCAATTCGGCCAAAGCGGACTCCATCATACACATCGGTAAGCGTCCAATAAAACCACCGTGCTGTTTGGGGCTTTAGACAGGTGTTAATGGCAGCGTGTGTGCAGGGATAAAGCTCAGCGAGCGCATACTGCGTTGATCAGAGGATTTTGGCGAGAGGGCGGGATAGATCCTCTATTCAGCTCGCATCCTGTCTTTAAGCAACACTTTGACTCTCAAGCGAGTTGAAAAGTTGCGGTTTTGTAAATGCACATGCCTCTGACCTTTACCACGAGAGCTAATCTAGTGTTAATTTCCAGTATGAAAAATCCATTGCCTGTCTTTTGACGATTTCCCTCTTACTTTTCGATGACACCTCTGTGCATTCATGTCAGATCTAAACCTCACCACAGTCGGCCCTTAATTGCAATTTCGCATTCAAAGCACGCTTTACACTTAGAAGAGAGGCCCCTATCGCTGAAGCTTTTGACGAAATTTACGTCCAATAAACTATTAGCTGAGGCTTCCTTTTTAAAACCAAGCTACCTCTTGTGCGTACCCGACAAGCCTCAACTTTCACCGGAACGTGACTGCAATGTCAAAACCGTCGACAGAGGGAATGTCAGAGGAGTTTCGTTTTAGAGATGCAAAACGCATAGAGCCTCTTTGTTCTCTAACTTCAAACCCGAGCTGAGACCCCTTTCATTTTCTATCCCTCCATAGCTTTAATCTCATAATGAGGTTCAAAATGATACTCATCTGCTGTTTATCACTTAACATCGCATAACATTTCATTTTACAGTTTGGAGAGATTTCCTCCCTCTCCTTTTTCACACGCAAAATCTCTGTATAATTGGTTTCTTTCCAATTTTTTACGCACACAGCTACTTTAAAAAATGACTGGCGTTGTAATCTGAGATAAAAATGTCAATGTCACTGTGAGCAAATTCGGTCCCTGCTTCTCCACTCTCTGACTGCTGCTGCTGCTGCTGCTGTGCTGCTCTCAGTTTACTGCAACAGTCTGGCAAGCAGCAGGTGCTCAGTCACTGCCTTAATACAGAGGTGGGACTCCATCCAGATAATATTGGCTGATGCTCAGCTCAACGTTTTGGTACCCCGATTTTACTTTTCATTTCCTGAAACCTTTTTCCTGTGATGTATGTGCTCTTCAAAAAGGCAGCTGATGCCATTTTGATAAACAAGGAGGGAAAGAGGGAGGAGGAGGGGGGGTGTAGACAGGGAGACAGTTCAGCTTCAGTATGCCTCCAACACTGGGCCTATAATGCTTATTAGCAAAGATGCATTCATTTGGTAGAGGTGGCAGCTGTTTGCTTTACAGCTTCGGGAAGTCTATGCATCAAATAATAGTGTTTAGAAGAGGTGAACGTGTCGCTGTCTGAGGTGCTGAAATCCTGCACCATGTTGCACCAAGTTCAGCGTATGTTGCAAACACAAAACACGACATAAAATCTTCAACTTATTGGAAAGTTAAAGGAAATACCTTTAAAAAGTTTCAGTGGTCAAATCATTAACCTCTTCCTCTATCTCCAGCGCTTCCCCTTCAGTGTATTTTCTTCTCACATCTTACCTTAACTACCTTTCCAAAAGGTGCCATATTCGAGGAAAATGCTGTACGAGATGACGAGATTTTCCAACTTGCCATCTCTGACCTGAGTCTCAGCGACGACATTCTGCAGAGCGAGAAAATCACCCACTCTGTGAAACTTATCGAGCCTAACAACCCCTTCCAGGCTGTGCAGGAAGGTAAGTGGGATCCCCTTCTCCACCCCCCCTCATTTTTCTTCTTCTCGGCAATAAATTGCTCCTGTTATTTTATTTGATGACTCTGGGTCTGCAGGGCATTTCAAAGAGACGGTGTCCTTGACTGTCTTAATCTGGCACATTTTCTTCTTAGGACGGTGAGATGTTGTTGATCAGTTGGTCTGGTCGCTCAGGAAGCAGCCATTGGTGATTATGCATGTGATAGAGCTCTGTGTGTGAACTGCCATGGTAGCACACCTAAGCAAGGTGTCTTCTGTGGACAAAAAGCTAGGTGGAAGCATTGAGTTAAAGCCTAGCAGATGAAGATAATATGCGAGGTTAAAAAAAATAGATATACCTGAAGATGATCAAACATTGTTCCAGCACAGGTGTTCCAATTATGCAATCCTAACAGAGAGGAATATTTCTGTCTTTTTGAGTCTTTGTCATTTTATCATCCTTCACCTTCAAATGTATCACTGCATCATTGTGGAGTTCCTGTTAGTGCCCAGAATGTAAACACCTACACGAAACAGACAGGAAATTAGCAATGAAATCATTTTACTCAAGGTTGTCTCTCGCAGTCACCGAGAGGTGCTCCAACCGACAATCGACTTGCAAGAGTGATTAAAAATTCTTCCAGTAAAATGAAAGGAGACATTAATAGGTTCTTTGGGACCTTCAAAGGACTGTTTATGTCCCCTGCACTTTTTCCTAGCAGCCTGTACTTTTGTCCCCAGTAGCAGAGGGGCCTTGATGACTCATTGCTATTCATAGTGCCCCTGACAGGCACAGAAAAACACTCATATGTCCTGCCTTTTGCTATAATAATTATCCCTTGTCATTTAGCTGTGTTCCCAGACATTCGACTCCTTGTTGCTCACATACACTTAACTCCTGACAAAGCTCACATGCACCACAGAGCCATTCTGGTTCTCTGAGACCGGCTGAACTCTACAGAGAAGATAGTCCAGACTGCGACTGCTGCAGCTGCTGCTGTGGAGATGAGATAAAAAATGTATTACACACATGTGTGACTTGGCTAATTTATCAGTCGCCGTTGCTTGAGATGCAGAAGTACAATAATTAAACTGACTTGGCAGCTAATCGTTTACCAGTTTTGCATTCCAGTCCAGACCTATAGTCAAAAATGGAGTGTTTGGATCATTTTAAAACTGCTGTTGGTTTTCTATAAGTCGTTTTCTGTCTTGTGCGTTTTCCAGACAGTATCATAGCACAATATTGTGCCTTTGCAAAAGCTTATGGACCTTAAAAGTGGTTGACAATGCTGTAAAAATAAACAAATGTAAGCTGTGAAGATAATTTGACGCTGCAAATCTTGACACTGCATATTGAAATTAACTCTGATCTTATTTCCTGCTGGTGGACCTGCCTTTCATTTGCTTTGATTGTGCATCATTTAACATGCTTAATTACTGTTTACGGTTACTCTCCTGATAATGACATATTTGCTGAGGGAGGTGATTAAAGAGGGGATTGGGTTTCTGGAGAGAGAGAGAGAGAGAAAGAGAGAGAGACAGAGAGTGTGTGTGTATAAGAGAACGCCGGAGATAATGTGCAGCTGATGATGTTGGGAGAGATCAATTTAGTTCCCTAGATCCTCGCACCACACACCAGGCGGGGCAGAGGGGTGTTGAGTGACACCCTGGAGAAGTTGACCTTTTGCGTTGCTCTTTTGTTCGCTGCCGTCCCGCTGTGAGTGGCAGTCAGGACCCTGCCATTGCATGGCAAAGAGGTGAGGGAGGGGTGAGGGAAGTGAGTGGAATGAAGAGGAGATGATAGAGCCGGAGGAGGAAGAAATAGGAGGGAGATCGGAGGTTAGGGGACTAACATGAGTGAGGATAATCTATTAAAAAACTGGTAAAATTAGAGGGAATTATGATAGAGACGTTAATAA